CACCTTCCTCTTTCTTGGCTAAGTTTACATTCCTGAGGCTGACAGGCAGCAGAGCTTCACAGAGATGATGTACTATTATAACTCTCTTCATCTGATCAGTTAATATCACAATTTTTGAGATTACATAACTTATTAGTCAAACAAAAATGAAGAATGTTCCCCAGAATTGTAATTAATATGTTGAGAGCTAATTGTGTGCCAAGCACTAGTCTAAGCAATTTATGTGTTTACACATTTGCATCCTGGCAACAACTCCATGCAGGAGGGATCATCAGTATCATTACTCTACAGCAGGGGAAATTGAGGCTCAGGAAGAGTTTTCTTCTTGTCTGTTAGGTAATTTTCCTAAGATCACACAGCTAGCAAGGAGCAAGGCCAGGACAGGAACTCATGCAAGCTGACTCTAGACACGGTTCTTAATCGTTACACTACCATTCATCAAATATGCCACCTCAAACGTTAAAGCATTTATTAGACAGCATTTAAAGGAAATAATGCTGGATATCTTGCAGCTACATTAGAAGCAATTTCGGGCCAGGTAAGTAGCTCAGCAGTGCAGTGCCTACCTGGCAAGCATGAGGCCCTGAGTTTGATTCCAAGAACAAGAAGAGGAAGGGGAAGAGGAGGAGGAGGCAGGAGAAGAGGAAGGATGAGAGGAAGAAGAGGAAGAAGAGGAAGAAGAGGAAGAAGAGGAGGAAGAAGCAATTGCTTTGCAGGGCACGGTGGCACATGCCTGTAATTCCAGCACATGGAAGGCTGAGGCAGGAAGATCACTGTGAGTTCAGCCAGCTTGGGATACATAGTGAGACCCTGTCTCAAGAAGCAAAAAATAATGGCAACAGAAAAATCAACTGCTTTCACTAACCGGCTCCTGCTAGACCAGAATTAAAGGCACCTACGCCCCAGGTCATACAAGGATTAGAGTTTCCCTTCACAGGCTTATTGTGTCAGCTAGAGGGCCCAGAGTTTTCTGTAAATGCCAAGGGCACAGTTCTCATACTGCCTGCTCTGACCGTATCTACTTCTGTACTTAATAGCTGAAACTTCAGTGCCTAAATAGTAACAGTGGCTACTATTACTGACTGTAAAGACAGGCAGCCATACATGGACTCCTGAACCTCTGAGTGTATCAACACTAACTGTTATATAAGTGAGGACTCCATCTGTACAAACTGTCTGATATTTCATACAACTCTGTATGGCTTAATCAATTACATATGACGGGCCTTGGGCTTCACTTTCGGGTTTTATGAATGACTTTATTGGAATTCATAACAGCTTTGGACCATTTAGCTTCTACAAAATGGTCAAACTGCCTTCAGTCGTACATTTCTATACCTCATCCTGGTTGTGCAAAGGACATGTTTCATGAAAGAAAGTCATATTCTATGTAGAAGAGTTCAACAATTTTGCAAACAACAAATGAAGAGAATCAAAATTTTTCATGCTTCTGGACATGTATTTATACAGAAAAAGCCCATTTAATTCTTATGCCACTTAGAATTCGATGAGCTTCAATCTCAACAATGTCTGTTCTGCAGAAGCATTTCAACAGATGACTGTTTGGCACTTAACTACAGCACATACAGTCTCACTAACAAGAACAGAAAAGATTTTCTCAGCCAAGAATCTGTATCTATAAAACCTTCCTGGCTATGTCAATTTGCCTGAGTCCTATGTTATATACTTCCATTTCTTAGCATCTTTTAAGCATTTTAGAATAAATCACCACAATGACTCATGAGCCTAGACTGAAAGAATTCTCTGCTGCTTTGTTCTTTGTTTTGGTGCCCTTATCAAAGGCATGCAGTTTCAAGAAATTATCTTTATTAGTGGCAACAGAGCATTATTCACAGAACAAATATTTATTAAGGATCTACTATGTGTCAGTACAGGTATCATTCTAGGAATCCAGTAGTGAGACAAAGTTCCTGCTTTCAGAAACTTTACTTGCTAGTTTTACAAAGATAATTGTTTCTGCTTCTATTACATAAATTACTACTTTTCCTTCAGTGGGGACAAGACAGCATCTTCCAGATGGATTGTGACAACAAGTGGGACAGCCTGGAGATCGGCTACTGCAACTCAGAGTGCTTCTCTGATTGCTCTTGATGGAATACAGTGGCACTAAGGTCAACATAAAGACGAAGAAAAACTGAGAGCTTTCTTTGCATCAAAAAAGGACTCCAAACAGGTAGCAGATCAAATTTTAAACTGTTAAATCTGGAAAACACTTCAAAAATCTAGTAACACTTACACACTGGAGTTGCACCATGGAAAGTCAGACGGTGCTGTAGTGTGGCTATTACTTCCTGGACTCAACTAACCCACCAAGCAGATCACACTTCCTTCCCAGGCAGAGGGCAGACAGACACACTACCAAGCAGGGATGTGATAATGACATGGGTAATATGCTTGCCTGAGGACAGTAGAGGTGTCTGAAAGGAGCTTTCCTTAGTGTTCGACTCAACATTAAAACTACTATCACAATTTTTCCTTTCATAAACTGTGGTTTATTCACACTAAAAAATGTCTGGACTATAGAATACCATGGAACCATTACAAATAGAGACATAGATCTATGTATCAATATGGAAAGAATTCTAGTACATACTGTTGGAAAAAAAAAGAAAAATGAGAGATACATATAGTATGATACTCTTCATTGGTTGATTTTTAGCCTCAGAAAACAATATTTTAAAAATAGAAAATGTCTGGAAAGACACAAAAAAATTTCTAAGCACATGATATGGGAACAAGAATGGAAATTTTGTGCTATATATAATGTTGTAATTAGGGATGATTATATTCATGTTAACCACGTCATTAAAATTTGATTAAAAAGGATTAGAATAATATGCTCAAGAAACTAACTGAACAATCAACATCTCACTATAATTTAACATGAAAATATGCAATAAAATTTAAAGGTAAGTTATATTAAAATTGAGTCAAATTCCTTATAGTATGTATCATTTCTTCAAAATACTGCTAATTCTTTTTGTTAATCTAAAAAGAAAAGGGGTTTAAAAATAGTCAAGTGAAAAATCTACAGATTGTATCACCTTGTCTACAATACTACAAACCAAGGAAAGTTCTAACCCTGAGGCTAAGGAGAAAAAAAATAAAAACCCCAATACTTTCAATATATAGGAAAGAAAAGAAGTCCTGCTGTCTAGAAAATTTAGAAAGCATTAAACTAAGCTCTATTATTGACTCTTAATGCCCCTGTACCACTGTGTCTATACAGTGATGTAGCATCATTAACGACAAGGCCCAGTGAGTCCTCAGCTCAAAGCACTGGAGGCATGGAAGGATGCTAAAGAATGAGATGAGATAAACAAGTAATTAAGGAAATGCCAAGAAGGGAGAGAGAAAAGGAAGGGAAGGCAAAACAAACAAAAACAAAAAGTGAAAAATATGGAATAGAATTATAGAACAGAGAGGGCATTATTGCCTCCTGACTTAGGATTCATAATTGAAAATCTGTACTTGTAGAACAATTTACAAAGCACTTATTTCCACGTATATTATGGAGTACAAGCTTTGTAACACATGGTACTAACCCCACTTTACAGAAAGCAGTAGAAGTTCTGAAAGGGTAAGGACACTGCCAAAAGCTAAACAGAGAATAAGCAACAGAACTGAGGTCTTTTGACTTCCCAGCCAGTGTTCTTTCCAGTATACTATGGCTGCCATAAACGGTTTCTCAAATTGTCACTAATGTTTAGAAATGTAAAGCCTTTAAGAAGCAAATAAATATATTTTATCTATTGATAAAATATAGTAAGCTGTTTTCCTTCTCCTAGAACAGTGGTGTTGAACCTATGGCATGCATATTGTTTTTCTTTTAAGACAAAAGATGTTAATGTGTGAGTTGTTTTTTCTAAGCTAAAACCTCAATATTCAGGTTTAATTGTTGTATTGGCACTTTTTGATTAGTAAGTGGGTTTGGGGTTGCAGTTTGGGCACTCAGCTCTAAAAGGTTCGCCATCACTGCCATAGGAAACTCTGAAAAGAAAAATCTGATTTATTCTATTAAAATCCACAGAACAGAGTAGGAGAGGGGAGAGGGAGGGAATGTGATGGGGTGAGATGGGAGAGCACTGGAAAGCAGGAGCTTCCACACCTGGTATGTAGGGTGTGGTGGATGCAGGAACCCAAACATAAAAAAACTGGGTAGAACTTAAAATACACATTCATCCAAATGAGTATGAGCAAATCTGAACAAGATCTGTGGGTTTCATCAAGCTCAATGTACTGGAGTTTACAAATGTTACCTTGGAGGAAAGGGAGGAAAGGATATATTGCCTGTTTCTATGTTACGTGGTTTTTGGTTGTTTGTTTTTTGGTACAGAGGATCAAACTCAGGACCTTGCACTTTGCAAGGCAGGCATGGTGCAATGGGCTAAATCCTGGGCCCTCTATGTTATATGTTATAGGAACATCCCCTTAACACGATGAAAAACAATTTTAAAAAATCAGAACTTCACACTACCAACACCACCAAGATAGTGATATTATGCAATAAGAAATACAAGAAAACACAATACAATCAATCTTCATTAAGAGAACTGAGGTCTTATTCATGATATTAAAAATTTAAAAATTCTTATTACAAGCCAAGAACATTTTTAAATATCTTTTGGAAGTGTAAATGCCTTAAGAGTGAGAGCCAGCTCAGCCTAGCCAGACAAATGATAAACCACGTGTGGAAGGTGAAAAAGAAAAGAGGAAGAAGAAAGAAACTAGAACTCTTTGAATGACACTGTTTAGGAATTTCATCTCAAATATCAACTGACATAATAATAAATATAAGCCAGTCTCTTGGCAAGATAGAGAATCATGGCAATAATTATGTGATAAACAAGAAGTATATATAATAATCCTAATCATCATGCACAGAAAAGAAATACTTTATCTTGGTATCTGGTACATGACTATGAGGAGAAAAAAATATATATCCAATAACAGAAAACTGTCACTGGTATTGTACTGACCTGCTTGTAAGTTCCATCCAACAAAGTGTCCAGATGTTGGAGGGGAGCGGGTGTTTTATCTTTGAACCTTGTTAGTAGCCGGCGTTGGATGGCTCTGAACTGTACAGCTCTTTCAGACAATAGTTCTTCTAATTTTTCACCATTTATCCGCAGCTACAACAAAGAATGCCTTAAATTGAGGTTAAATAGTTATAAGAAAATATGTTCAAAGTAAGAATATACAGCCTATGTTATAACGATGTCAATAAAAGTTTGAAAAATTTAAACATTTTGCAAAGGAATTAAAATAATGTGATATTTGGCACATAAATATAGAAATAATATAGTGGAATAGCTCAAATGGAAATTTAAGAAGAGCTTGTATCAAGTGATTCAAGTGATACTGTGTGTTTTTAAATAAGCCTGTACATTAGCACAGTAGTGAATACACAGAATTTGTCTAAAAAGACACATGAGATACTGAACATTAAAAGTTGTCTCAGGAGAGAAGACTTAGTGAGTAGGGAATGAGAATCAGAAAACATTCTTCACTGTAGCTCATTTCACTAAAATTTAATATTAGTAAAGTAAAAGGGCTGGGGTGTAGCTCCCTAGTACAGTGCTTGCCTAGCATTCATGAGACCAGTTCCCTCTCCAGCACCAATAAATTATTTAATTATTTTTTTAAAAAGAAACTATTGGAGTCATAGAGAAGGAACATCCATGAAATCAGATCCCTGAACTACTAATTCAAGTTTATAAAATTAATCAACTAGTTCAGAAAAATATGATAATTCAAACTGTTCAGAAATTAAACATAGTTTACAATTCTAGTGTCAAACCAAAGTCTTATCTTTTCAATGCATGCATTTTCCAGATACATGATAAGTATTACGTAAGATATAAGATTTGGAATTTTAACAAGTTTCAATTCCAATTTTAGAAGCACTAAGAATATTCTCTTGAGGGAAAAAACTTTTATTACAAAAAATTAATAAAATGAATTTTTAATGACTAAATTTTCAAAAGAATAGCCCAATTATCAATATGTCACTCATGTAACTGAATACTGCTGTAATATTTTATTTCCTGGATTCATGAAACATACAAAAAATTAAAAAGACAATCTCAACACTCAGACATCATCCAGGTTATCATTGCATCGAATGTGTTATCAGGTGGCAATGACAGAAATGTCTTCCCATGTCACTATTTCAACACGTATTTTTCAATCCCATAGTTAAAAACTATTTCAGGTACTAAGAATTAGAGAAATGAGTAAAACAAAACTTTGTGTCTCACTTGCACAAAGAGACAGTGGACTCCAAAAAGACTTTGTGACTCAAAGTTTAAAATCATAACAATGGATCCCACTCCTGTCTCTCCACCATAGTTCATGCTCCTCCCCAGACACAGGGCCAATTCCTTACAACTCCCAGCAGGGCTGGGGGCCTGAGACAGGAGGTGCCATCCACAATATGCATGAGTGGCAGCAGCCAGCCCATGAGAGGAATCAGAACCCTGGAGGACACCAGCATGGACAAATGGAAATCACCGCAGAAGGAGGAAGTATAGCAGTTTATGATCTTTAAAGAATCTAGTAAAAAAAAAATGTAGCACGTTGTCTTCTCAAAATCACTGTAAGTTAGATGTTACAACAAATAATATTTTCCAAAATCCTGAACTTTATATTTGAGAGAGTATAAAAGGATCACTAGACAGAGAGATGTTAAAACAACAGATACAAACATCCTCAAACTGAAAATAAAATGGGAATGGATGGTATACAATAGTTCGGTGATAACCTGGTACTTGATCCAGCCAACGCTAGTGCTGTGACCACTGCATGAAGTTCAGAGTAGCAATGCTGTGTGAGTCCTCCAAACAGGAGTTTGTGGATAGTGTAACAGAACTAGGATGAGCCAGCAGAGAAAAGCTAAAGGCTCAAATACCAAAGAGGGAACCAGAATTGAAAGAACTGGGATGATTTTAAGGATTTTTACCAGTTTGATTTTGCAAAAAATCCACAACAGAAAGGATTATATCTAGAAATGGCCACTGCCTCCCAGAACCTAGTACTTACTGGAAGATAATTAAATTGTGTTGCAACATCATAAATGATCAATACCAAAAGATATTTAAAATCTCTTAAGACTTCAGTGCAATGATTGCAGATGATGTGTCTAATTATGACGAAGAAAGAATGTGGGCTATTCTTATTGATGACTTTGTGGAAATGCTGTCTTTATCAAAAACACTCTGGCATAAGAATTAAAAATGAACATCACAAGCAATTTATTAAAAACTTTGTAAATATATGGTTTGGGCTAGTTGCAAAGAGTGGGCTGAAATTATCTCCAATGACAGCAATATATTTAAGTGTTCTGGATCTGGAATGGTGTTTTAGTGTAGGAGGATATTTTTATTTTCTGGAAAATCACATGTATTGTTGATGTGAATAGAGTATTTGATGAAAGAAATGTCAAACAATCAACACAAAAACTTTTTAGGCTAACTTGATCCCTACCTGAAAAATGTATTGTTTTAGACTCTCAGCTTCAAATAGGTTCCACAAATGCAGTGTGCACTTACCTTACTTATGCTTATATATAATGACTCTACAGGAAGCTTGTACTTAGAAAGTATCCATAAAGCTAGATTCCACTCTTGTCTACATTATGTACAACGTAAGTGGATTTCATTATGTTTTTGAAATGCTTACAGTCCTATCAAATAAGTTAAATGATTTAATTTGTCCTGAATGTTTTGAATTGCTGTACAATAGTCTACATTTCTAAAATGTGTATTCATGGCTGAAAGCAGACAGTGAGGACACAGGAAAGGAAGAATAATCACTCTCGCTTTAATCTGTGTGTGTAACCAGTGAAAATGCCTGTACTTTACCAAATTCTCCAAGCTCTTCCTCAAAAAGGAAGCACCTTGATGTGGAAAATCAGGGATTTCCTCGAGAGCAAATAAAAAAGGAAAACTGTGCATCAAACTTACTAGTCCCCAGCACATAATATTCTCAATTTTAAATATTACAAATATATTATTGCTATAGTCTTTCTGTGAACATTCTTTCATAAATCACTGGACCCCAGTTTGGAAAATGAAGCAACAATTTCTTAAAATACATCCTAGAGCAGTAATGGCGAACCTTTTTTAGAGTTTTCAATCATAACAGCCGGCTGTGACCTGCATGCCACAGGTTTATCACCACTGTCTTAGAGTAATGCAAAGGTTCTCAATCCTTAAAATACCTATATATACTCCACAATACTGTCAGTTTTAGTGCCATAGTTTGGCCAAATACATACTGTCCTGGAAAATACTATCATTAGAGATGAGAGGAAAACCAAATAAATTCAATTTATTTGACAATGGTATAATTATTCAAAATTGGATTGCATACACTTGAAAATTTCCCTTTATGTTCATACTGCATTAAGAAAAAAGCTTTAATAGGTGAAACTTAACACTCAAGACTATTCAAGGGGCACCTGACAAGTTGCACGACTTTCACATGCACACACACATTCACACATATACGAAAATGTCTACTGTTCCCTTAAAAAGTAGTCACTCTAGAAGCCAATCCTTACTTGAATGATGTTTAAAGCTCTTTTAAAATTTCCCTTTTGTATTGCCTAATAAAATATGTTTATAGGTTCTGTAAGCAAGTGATGCCTGGTAACTTGACCTTAATAAACAGAACTTTTAAAATGATTATCATTAACAGACCAAAAACATACACTAGAGGAAAGATAGCCTCTTCAATAAATAGTCCTGGAAAATCTAGCTATCTAAATGCTGAAGATTGAATCTAAGCCCATACCTCTCACCATGTACTAAACTAAAATCAAAATGGATCAATGAACTAAACGTTAACACAACCTACTGGAAGACAAAATAAGTAAAACTATTGAAGATATAGGTATAGGCAAGGACTTTCTGAACAGAACCCCAATCACACAAGAAATAACATTAAGAATCAACAAATGGGATCATACCAAATTAAAAGGCTTCCATATAGCAAATCAAACAACCAATAGAGTGAAGAGATAATCTACAGAACAGGAAAAAACTTCTCCTAGCTAGTCCACAGAAGAATAATATCTACAATATATAAAGAATTCACTGAGATGCAGAAGCTCTGCTTTTTTTTTTTAAGTCACTTTACTTTATTTACAATCACACCTCATTTATGGCCTTCGAGAATTAGTCAAATGGCTGCCTGTAACCTCAGATAGTTTTAACACCGTGTTACTGGGATCAAGGCTTAAATCCGCATGTGGGAAAATTAAAGCAGCTCTATTTCAAGGCCAGATCACATGCTCAGCTCCAGGCAGCCATTCTGTAAATGTCTGCAACTGATCACAAACTGGTCAAGAGGGCAAGAATTAAGTCACCAAATTTACCACCTACATAGGAATAATACCTCAAACCACAAGGCCTACTAGTGTCTATACTAGAATTTCCACTGTTACAGCATCCATCGCTTTTTTGTATATTTAAGGATTTTAGATGATGTGGATTATAATCATACATACCTCAAAATGATGATCAATCAACTCAAAATATTCCTGAAGGGGCATAGATCCAGAAAAAGAACATGAAAAATCTTTGATTCCCTGTTTTTCAAAATATTCCTGAAGGCGGATGATAAGCTCATTTGTTATGAGCCAAAGATCTTCAAATTGTTCACTTTGAATGCGATATCGTTCTAAGAAAAAATAATTAAGGTAAAACACTTATTAACATATCAGAACTAGCTAAAATTATATGAACTAGCAATAAGTTTGAAATGAAGTCTAAAATTAAAAGGTCAAAGGTATCTTTTTTGTAATACAGACAAGATTTCCACTAACTTTATAAAAATACTTAGACTGCTCTGTTGTTTTTTACATCAAACGCAAGGCACTTTCAAATCGAATCCCAAAGGCAGGTGGTCACTCCATTTTACCCTGTATCTAATAATATATACAATGAGAACATCCAAATTTTGATTCTTGAAAAAACACTGCACTTAACAAGTAAAACAACAGTCATTACAAAAGTATAATCTACTGTTATTAGATTGTTTTGAAATCTTATTGTGAAATAAAATTTACTCTGTAGAAAGTTCCATATTTCAGGGATTGTAACCACTATAAATCCTCACAATCACAATGGAAGTTTCCTCATCGTTCTTTGATTTGAAGAGAGATTTCACAGTCAGCTGCTTCCCTAAATATAAATCCTCCCCTCCATTCCCTGTAACCTCTCCTCAGAGAGAACCTGATTCCTGTGCATTTTCTACAGTGAGGACAGTAACAATGATGTTGCCAGCAATGATGAGGACATTGTGTCAGTGACAACATCCATGACAAGAGCAATTACATTTTTTAGGCACCAACTAGGTGCCAAGGGTTAGCCCAACCAGGTATCCAGCAGAGACATCTCCCCCAGCACTCCTCCATGAGGTGAAAAACTCAGGGATCTCCAGGTATCTCCTTTCCCAGGGTGACCTGTGACTCCTTCTTCAGAGGCCTCTCTTAAGCTCCAGTAAGAGTTTGGGCAACAGGTTTGGGCTTTTCTCTCCCCACTAGAATGACTGCCCCCTCTTTTCCAGATATGTCTTGATAGATTTACTGGGCTGGGAACAGGTTAGTATTCTAGCCCACATACTGGGTCCTCCCATCCCTAATGTTCCTGATATCCAGGCCCCTGCTCTAACTTTCATAGAGCCAATATCTAACAAGGAAGCCTTACAGTTTGGTAACATAAAGGTTATATATGATTTAGGTTAATGTATATTTTTCTGTGTGTCAACTTTCATGTATATATTATCCTCCAAAATTTCTACTTAGGTTGGTTTATAAATTAATCAACACTCATGATATTAACCCAAGTGATTTTGGGGGGCTAATGTCACAGAGCTTAACAGTGCACTAATTTAAGTCACTTGCTAAGAAGAAAAATGTTTTTAAAGTTGGTGATATGTTTCCATCCAGTTTGGAATATAAGGTCGTCTATTGTGGTAGTATACAATAACTTAAAGAGTTTTTTTTCTTGGTCAAAGATAATATATATAACTTTAAAAAGGTGTTAACTGTTATAATTTATTTCTCACAAGTTATCTAAAATAATTGTTAAATAAGTAGGGACTCGTTGAGCTTGGAAAACCTACTGAACAAGACTCCGCTCTGTGAATAAAAGGGCAGGTGCCTGAACCAATTTGTTCAGTTTTTATCCACTTATGGGACTTTTCCATTTTTTCAGAGTCTTATAGTGATAAACTCCAACAAATGCTATTAGCTATATTATCATATATTGGTTAAAAGATTAAGCTATGTTCAAAATAACACAGTTTTCTTAAGACACTGAGATGCCTTTGGTTAAATTTTTAAAAACTAGATTAAAGAACAAAGGCTCTACCTTGTACTAATATATTTCCATTGTTAAGCCTTTGGTTCAATTGAATTTTGAAAGTTAAATTAAATGTTGGCTTATAAAATGTTAATAATCATCTTATGATTGGGTAAACAATTATCTTAGTTTATATCATAGCCTATGTATCTAAAAACAAGTACGCTAATAAGTCTAAGATTTAAAGTTAAGCTTATAAAAATAAAACTACATAAATTTAATACGAAGTAACTAATGAGTGTGATCTCTTTTATACAATATACACATAGACATTAGACATATAAAATGCTCAAAATCTGGCATCTCTATTTAAGTTGGTCCTACCATTTAAAACATTTACATCTACTAGCTTTGAATAAACAGTTTGTCACTGTATAAATGAAACACACTTAAATACTGGGTAATAAGTCTATTTGTGCTCTGCAGTATGATTTCCTAAATATTTTAGACTTTTAAAGATGTTCCCTAATTCTTGCCAGTGCAGTTACACCCTGTAAACCTGTTTTAAAAGAGTTAAACTCTTCCTTAAGTAAAAAAAAAGTAAATATATACAAAGATTTCTATATAGCAGTGATGCTAATTATAACTAACTTCACAATATATTGAATACATTCATGTTTCCTAACTGTACAGGCCTTCAAAGAAACAAAACTGAAAAATATCTTATTATACTGATGACTTTCAGATTTAAATTATTTGTGGTGGTAAAACTTATTATTGTTATATGACTGTGTTATAACAGTATGTGATTTATAGTTACTAAGGGACATCACAAAATGTTTTAAAACCCTTTATGAGTTCCTTGCATATGCCATAAGTCCTTAGATATAAAGATCTTCAGGGTAAATTTTTGAGTGAAAGTCAAGGTGTTTTGTACAACTCTTTTTTCATGCTTTCCTGATCTGTTGATGAAGATTAAAGAAGCTATGTGCCACGAACAAGGATGCTTGTTCTGGATATGAACAACAGGTCTCCGTATGACTAGCAGGGATGCCTAGCTTAGTCATGACAAAAAGAGATAAGGCGCGATCTAACCTTGGCTTGTGGTGGGCTGCACATGCAGTGTGACCCTAAAATAAGGTGGGCAACTCACACAGCCTAACCTTGGAACTTACATATGACCTCATCTTTACTTTCTTTTTTTTCTTTCTCCCTTTATCTCTTTCCAACATTACACAAGGGCAATGTCAAAGAAATACAATATATACTAAATAATTATAGGTAAATCCTTGTTTGTACTCAAAACATCATTTTTAGGTTTTATTTTATAAACTTGGGGGAAATTTAAAAGATTTGAAAAGGTTGATTTTTCTCCAAATGTAAGTTAAAAGAGTAAAAAGACAAGGTTTCAAACCTAGTTTTGTAACAAGGAGAATAAAAAAAATCCCATCCAAAAATGTACAGCTCTTCTTTGTAATAAAGTATTTTACACTAAAATAAAAATTTAAATATACTTTTAGATATAACAAACCCAATGGTTCTAAACTAATGTCAACGTAATTGTTGTGCTAAAATGTTACGTTTGCTCTTGATTTCAAATTTTCCCAATAAAACTTTATGACTATTTTTTCTTTTCTTTTTTGGGGGGTACTGGGGATCAAACTTGGGGCCTTGCACCTGCAAGGTAAGTGGCAGAACCACTGTGCTACATCCCTGGCCCATGACTGTTTTTTTCTTAAAGGAATCATGGTAAGAGAAATTATATTTCCCTAGTCATACTTGATATTTCAAAGTGCCCAGTATCCAGATAAGATTATGAGAGTTAAACTTACTATTCCCATTTCAACACTATTATAACTGACCTCCTGCGTGTTCAACAACTAAGGCTTATAGACCAAAGCTAAACAAAAAGATAACTAGGCTAAGACAACAACCAATATTTTGGCCCATGCTTCCAATGTCAACAAGGACCCAGGACATGAGGAGACCTCAACAAGATCATATAATTCTGGTGAGTTACCCAACTCCCAAGCAGGGATATTGTTAGATTTCAGTGAACAAGAGTCAACCAATGTACATTGTGCTAAAAGGAGAGTCATCAAAAAAATTTCCCATGCTTCCAAGGAAAGCCATGTGGTCAAGCAAGACCATGATTTATCATGGCAGGTGACATGGACAGAGAACCTAAGAGATTCTGTACATGGTCCCAAAGATAATCCCTGAGAAGCTTTAACTGACCTTAATACATAACAAGAGGTTACGTTTGATTAACATAGGTATCACTTTTACTTGGTCTGAAACACCCAGCACAAAAGATCAACCAACAAAAGAGGTATATATAAAAATAATAGTAATTTAGGGTAGATATACCAGTACTAGATGTACATGGTTAGATCTCCAAGTACTATACTGGCCTCTACTGACAGTCTCCAGCCACACCTATAGCTTGTTACTATTGTGGTTCTAAGAAAAGCCACCATGACAGCTATAAGAGATCAACAAAAATCTTTTAATTTCATAGCCAAAATTGTCCTTCAAAAGTACAGGGCCCTTTGAATTTGGGGGTCTGATTTTTTTCAATTCTTTATATATTCTCAATAGTAGACCTTTGTCTGAGGTACAGCTGCTAAAAATTTTTTCCCATATTGTAGGTTGTCTCTTAGCTCTGTTGGAAGTTTCTCTTGCAGTGCAGCTTTTTAGTATGATGAGATCCCAGTTGTTGATTCTTTGTGCTAGCTCCTGTGCTACTGAAGAATTGTTCATAAAGTCTTTTCCTATGCCACTGTCATCAAGAGTTCTACCTAACTTATCTTCCAGCAAGTTTAGTGTTTCTGGCTTACTATTTAGATCTTTAATCCACTTCTATCTTAGTTTAGTGCGCAGTGATAGGTATGGGTCTAGTTTTAATCTTTGGCAGGTTGAAATCCAGTTTTTCCAACACCATTTATTTTTTTAATTTTTTATTTTTTTGGTACCAGAGATCGAACTTGGGTCCTTGCACTTGCGCAGCAGGTGGTGAAACCACTGAGCTAAACCCCTGGCCCCCAACACCATTTATTAAATAGGCTATCTTTCCTCCAATGAAGTGATTGGCTCCTTTGTCAAAAATGAGGTGGCTGAGTATGTCTGGAGTTGTTTCTGCATCTTTTAATCTATTCCACTGATCTTCAGGTCTGTTTCTTTGCCAGTACCATGCTGGTTTTATTACAGTACCTTTGTAGTATAGTTTCAAGTTGGGGATTGTGATACTCCCAGCCATGTCTCTGTTGCCTAGAATTGCTTTTGCTATTCTAGGTTTCTTCTGATTCCAAATGAATTTTTGGATTGTTTTCTCTAGTTCTGTGAAGTATATTGTTGGAATTTCAATTGGTATTG